TTAAAGCTAAAATCAGTACAAACTTGTGTAATCATAATGGCAATTAAATTTAATAAACAAAAAATGGATTCCAGTGTAAACTGATGAGCCTTTGAAGTAGAAAACACTTCACTTGAGGAAGTCCATTTGGCTCAAGGGAAACAGCCCAGATCTGTCGGATAATAACTTAACTACTGCAGAGATCCTTTATGCTGTTCCACATTCACAAGCAGAGTGTGGCCCAGACTCAGCTGAGCAAGGTCCAATCTGCTGCTCTGTAATAAAGCAGCATGTCAGCTTTGGTGTGTTTAGCCTTAAATCATTTCAAGTTTTATATCTAACCTTGTCATCATGTCTAACAGCAATGATTCAAGAGAGTTTTTTGGGGTAGTACACATGATTTCTGTGTGTGTGTGTTAGAGAGAGAGAGAGTTTAAGAAAACACACTAACCAGCAAATAGCTATAGCAACAAAGAGTGTTTAAAATCTTTTGTCCATCCCCTGTATTCTGTACAACCCAACGATAAATGGGTTAAAGATGAAAGCAATACAAACTTACTATAGATTTAGTTTGAATTAGATTGGAATGTAATAGTTCATCTTTTGGGGGGCATTTAGCTCTGTTTCCATATTTGGAGGAGCAAATCATCCTACGAACTGACCTGATGGCATTTTACCTATCAGCAAAACCCCCGCTGGTTTTCAGTACCATTTATTTTTCCAGTCTTTTTGTTTCCTTCATTTCAACATTATTGTGATGTGTTGCTGCCACCAAAATCAAAATAGTCTAACATTTTTCATTACATAGTAAATGTTTCAGTTGAAAAATTTAATATTCCTCATGATTTGTTTTATTGTGTATATGGATTTGTGAGATCCTCAGATCATTGCATTCTGCTTTTATTTATATTTTACACAATGTTCAAATCTGCTGTCAGTGCAAACACTGTGAAACTATCTGCTGTTTGAACTACCTTAAATTCCATCGATCTATCGATTTTTTAAAATCCAAACATTCAAATTTAACAGCTGCAATTTTTAAAAACAGCAACAAAAAAAGAAAAAAAAACTAAAATTTTAAAATGAACTATGCAATTAATTTAAACTGTGATGTCAGCATTGACTCATGGCCCAACAAATGGCTCAGTGGACTGGCTGAACAACATTCACATGAACTAGATCTAAACAGGCAGCTATCGTAAAAATGCAGCTGGTTAAATTAGGGCAGAAAAGTTTTACCATCAGCAGAGAGACATGTGCCCTGAGACTGAAAACACTTATGTGCTCTTTTTAAGGGTAACTGTGGTGCCAGACAGTGGAGTCAAAATCTATTCAAATATTGACATTATGTTAGAAAAGGTCCAAACTCTTGTTGGGGCCTCAGTTAATAGCTGATCTATTTCAGAGAATTTCTTAGTGGACCGAATTTCTGTTATACCTACTCAAAGACTTGTCGGTTTGTTTATGTCACTTAATTAATTTTCGCTTTGTTTTTTTTTCCCCTCCTTTTACTCAACCACAAAAATCAACCAGAGATGAGGACTGATCGGATACAGTAAGGGTCAGACCTCTGCCCTTTGTAGGCACACTTGTACTTGCCTGTCATTCAATAATATGATGAAGGATAACCAAACTATTATTTTTTATAAGTGTCTGGCTCTTTTTGCAGCACACAACTGACAAATGTACATTGGGTGGTTTATGGACTGACTCCATATCCTTCTCCCTGTAATCACTGACAGAATATTCTTGAGTCTGATCACATCCTGCGCTGACAGTTTCAGCAGCATGACGATGAGCTGCTCTTGCACTTTTTCTTTTTTGGGGATGTTGCAATTTCCAATGTGGTTACTGGGATCTTTTCTAAGAATCTGTATGACAGCACTTTAGCCACCGTTTCCAATGAAACACCAGTCAGCTGTGCTTGCTCAGTTGTAATACATGCCACTTTGCATGAGAAGATCGTGCAATGACGTGCACCTGTGTTAAAACACCTGGCTTGTTGGTTCTCCAGTAACCAGTCTCTGCAGAGACCACTAGGTGGCACAGGTCCTCAGCTCAGCACTCTACCATCAGGCAGTGGTTTGAACACCTTAAAGCAGAACTACCTTGAAAACTTTTTGTAACACCAATTAGATTTTTATTCACACACTGCAGCTTAACCTTTTCCCTCTTGTCCCGAATTCTTTGATGTTGGGCTGAGAACAAACAACCAATACTCAGAGCAGGTCCAGTCAATCCACAATCATTTATTAAGCACATGCATGTGGAGATGTACACAATACTACCTTCCGTGTCGATCTAAAAGAGGAAGCACTTAGATACACAGTTTTATATGTCAGGGTTCACGGCCCTTCATGCGTAGGCAGATAACATAACATGCATGAGTTACAGTTAGTGACAGTTAGATGTAATTCTTTTTTCAGCAACCTAAGAAAGCTATCTCAACTGTCTCTCACTATGATGTAGCACATCCTGAGTACATCCTGCTGCAGAGGATCCACAGGGCGATGGTGCAGCTGCTATCCACAGCTCCAAACACACTGGTAGTCATTCGGACTGTAAACCACAAAGCTTTGATGAGGCAATTACTAACTGTGACTAAATGTCCATCTGGTGGACGCCTGGCAGATGAGCTTGGCCCACAGCATCCGCCCACCACCACCCACTATTAAGAACAGGATTAATGAACTCTTTTCCTACATATTCAATTAAAACCATGACAAGATGTGCGCGCACCAACACAGAGATTTTTACCAGAAACATTTGAGTGAGGAGAAAGAATCAGAGCAGGATTGAGCACAACTGCAGTGTTGTGAAAAAGTATGACTTCACTCTGATTTTTTTTGTTTATGTTATAAATTTACAAAGTGTAAGGTTAGTATAAACATCATACTTCAGTAAATTTAACAGGGTGGGCCAAGAAAAAGACTACCAGGGACTCAGGGGAAGATTTGCATTTTCCCCTTTGCATTAATTTGCAGTGGACAGAGTACAGTCGCTCTTGGATAATAATTAACTTTTGGTATGTCTTTGATTCATTGTGTCACAACTGGGCAAACAGCAAATCAATGCAATGAGCTTCAGCGCTGGTTTTCACTAAAAGAATCTTCTCCGTTGAGGTAAGATGTGCTATAGACTTGAGAAGTAAATGTAAAAATGAGATTCGTTTAGCATTACAATACATTATTAATGTACTTGTGTGCTTTGTAGGGGATTTTGTGCAATTTTACGCTGTGTGACATTTTTCTACAGAAAAATATTGCCGTTTTCACTTCTGCTTGTTCCTTAAACTGTAGACGCGTACATCTTTGACACACATCTGAACCGAGGACATGGATTAGGGAGAATTTATTTCTACGATCTCTACCAGACTTTTCTTTTCCACTTGTTTGATAAATCAAAAAATGTTTCTGTCTTTACAACTCTTTACACATTAACTGCTACTTACATCAAGATTTTCGTCCTCCACAGCTGCATATTCTGATGAGTCAATAAAAAATAATAATAGTGTCAGTTCAACAGAATATATTGGTTTCAGCAATTAAACAGTTTGTAATTGAGAGAGGATTTGCAACTGCATTTTGTTTTGTTTTTTAACATATACTTTGTTATTGTTTTTGTTTTAATTTCATTCATAAAATCTAGTATCTGGTGAACTGGTCATAGTGCAACACTGCAGCCAGAGATGTGGACTGTTTACCAATCATGAAGTTCCAAGTTTGTAAACGACAGGCCTTTACTAGACTCCCAAAATGTGCCTGGATTTTCCTTTTCTTCACTCTTTTTTTCCTGGTGTTATTTATCACGAACACCTTGGAGGTAAGAACTTGTGTTTTTCTAATTAGTGACTACAGTTTTTTGTGTTGAAAAAAAGATTAAATGAATAATGTAGGTATGATGTGTCAGATGTCCATATGAAGAGCCAGATGCAATTCTCAGGTCATACAGTGCTTTCACATGACTTTCATCTGCTATATAGGTTTTAGATTAAATAGGTAAATGTGACAATGAGCGATCCGATGACCACAGCATTGTAGTTTTTAAAGATCCTTTATTTTCCCGTTTTAAAGTAGCACACACCACTCTCCCAGAAACATCCTTAAAAGGGGAGACATGATTAGATGATGAGGTCAGGTGTGTGAATCAGCCTCCATCTTTCACCACACCCTGAAAACCCACTGCTCTACCCCTCCCCTGCAGCGGAGCCACAAACCACTCCCCACAATAGTCATGTTTTTGGATGTAGCCCTTCGACAATCATCTTGTTGGTGGTGCAAAAATACTACATATACTAATATTTAATCTGCAACACGAGATAACTTTTTTTACTTTTTAAACTTACTTTTTTATTTACTTCTATTTAATTTTTTTTTTTAGTCCTTTAGTTCTTGTTAGGAAGAATGTGTCACCCTGACCTGGCAACCCTGTTGTAAGCTAGTAATTAATGTAGCCTTGTATGTGAGGTTTATGGTCAAATCAACTCATTGGAGAGTACTGATTAGTCCCTCCAAATTTAAATCAATTTTGTATCTCACATTATAAACATTGGTATTATAAGATTCAAATCCTGGTGATTTTCTGAAAGGCAACATTTCTGCCAGTAACCAGATTTTGCATTTGATACAACTGCATTTAGTTTGCCTTATCATAGAGAGCTGAGTGTAATCTGTATCTGTATATTTCTTGGCTTAGTTAAATTGGTAATGCATATATTTTAAGGATTTTGATTCATTCATTTATGTACAAAGAAAAGCTTTGTTGTCTTATCACATGAGAAGAATTTTTAACAGTTTTCAACTATGTTTAGTATTTACCTCTTTTTAAAATTTACCATGGCAACTAAGCAGCTTCAAAATCTGCAACTTTGGCTTTGTATGAAATGTTTTTGTTTCCAACTCTCAGAGCCCTATTCAGATTTCATTGTCTTAAACTGGATAATGGAACATGTTGATTCTTAGGTGTACTGAATTGTATTGCATGTTTTAATTCAATGATTAATATTGCAGTTTCAGAATAAAATGAAGACCATCAGCATATTCTCAAGGCCTGCCGCTGTTACCCTGTCTACTGACATGCATTATGACTTCTGCAAGTTAAAACCGCTGTCCCCTAAGGAGGCTCAAGAAGAAGACCTCCTGCTAGAGTCTATTACTTGGCCTGAAACGCCACCTTTATCATTTCCTCTTTCCCTGGAAAAGACCAGTGATCCAGACCACAGCACCTTTACCATTCTTCCAAAGAGGGGAGGGGGCCAGTGGCGAATAGGAGATAAGCTGGAGGTTATGATTAACATGAAGGACTTTCAGGGCCGTCCAAAAAAGTTTGGAGGAGACGTTTTACTTGCCCGGCTGCACAGCCCAACTATCGGTGCGGGTGTTGCAGGAGAAGTGGTGGATCATCTCAATGGCTCCTACACAGCTGTATTCTTTTTACTCTGGAAAGGAAGTGCACAAGTCCAGGTGATTAAGAAAATGTATCATTTTACATGTGGTTGAAGGCATTGGAAATGTCAACATCCCATCTTTCTTTTTTTTCAGTCACTGGAATGTTTAGAAAAATACATCTTCCCATTTCTCTAGACAAAGACTTAATAGTAAAGTAATGTTTCAAGCTGATGTAAAATATTATCTTCCTGTTGCCGTTGGCATAAAGAAACCTACTTCTCAAATTTGCACATAAAGTCTGTTACCCCTACTTTTAGATACTGACATTAGGACAAATGCTAAGACCAAACAGTCACTTCATTCTTATGCAATACTGAGCAGCAATCTGGGGGTGAAAAAAGAAACTAATGAGGAGGTGCCGCAAAAATGTGTTCCCCAAAAGGAACTGAGACTGACTTCCAAAGTTCTCATAGATTGTGATGTTTATATTGCTTATTTTTGTGTTAATGGAAACTGTAATGGAGGGGGAATGTGGTTCCGGGTTATACTTCAAGATCGTGTTCAGTTTCTGCAGTAGGAGAAAACTATTAGCACTAAAGTTAGCATGTTTGTAGTAAGCCCATGTAATGAATTCAAAGTATGGTGCTCCTTGCTAACTAGCAAGGTATGGTCATGACCTCAATGCCAATAGCTGAAGCTTTAAAAACAAATTATTTCCTCCAGAGTCTCCACCAGCTTGGGTTTGAGCTGGATGACAAAATATGCTTTAACAGAAACAAGAATTCTATCTGTTACAAAACAAATTATTTTGCTGCTTCCCCAACAGACCTTTGCTGCAAATATTTAATGATCATAGCTTGCTTATGAAATAGAGCCAACTCATCTTTTCCACTGAACCATAGCTGTTAGACAATTCTAACAGCAGATGGGTTAAATTCCAACCCAAGGCCGTTTGCTCCCATATGGAAAAGAAATAGTAAAAACTTATATGTGATTACTCATGAAAGTGGCCACTTTCTCATTACTTTCATACATTGTTTTAGTAAGTATCCAAAACATACAAGTTTCATTATATAATTTTTCAAGGGATCTTATATCTGTTTTCACTCTTATATGCTTTTCATGCAAGTTTCACACAAGACAGATACAAACTTTATAAGATTTATATATATCTTTTCCATATGGGCTGTGTATCTCCACCCACTGTAAATAGCCCTTATTAAACAGTTAGTCTTTAATGCTACTTGAACCAGGGGAATGGAATGCTGACCATGACAAAAGGTAACGTTTTCTTTCCATTGGCACTGTTTCTTTTTGCCAACATATAATCTGAATGAATTACTTACCACCAACCAGAAATGCAAATTCCCCAAAAGTTGATTCCATTTATCTGTATGTAGTTTTTTCAGTGGGATAAATGTTTTGTCACTCACCCAAGTGACTTCTTCAGTTTCATGGAGATGCCCTTTTTATAAGGTTGGGGAAACCTGCAGTCAGCTGAGACTGAAGAAGTCACTTGGGTGAGTGACGAAACATTTCTCCCACTGAAAACATCCAGATGAACAGAATCAACTTTCTGGGATTTCCTTACTGGGTTGATTGAGCATGAATCAAGATGCTGTATTCAAAGGTTGTAGTAATTATAGGTATTTATCTGAAAACTGGTTGCAAAACTCTGAGTCTGTTTTCTACAGGTGACACTGGTTCACCCCAGTGAGGCAGTCATGGAGCTGCGCAGGCTGAACAGAGAACACCCTGACAGGATTTTCTTTAAGAGCGTCTTCCAGTCAGGCTCAGTCACTGAAACTACCACCTGTAACATATGTTTGCGTCCAACCCAGAAGTCTCTGTGCAACTACACTGACCTCCATACAGGCGAGCCCTGGTTCTGCTACAAGCCAGATAACCTGAGTTGTGATGCCAGAATGAATTACTTCAATGGAGGATATCAACAAAGCATCACAACCATGGAGAAGCTTTTTAAGAGGTGAAGATTTCGTTTATGTCCTTAGTGTAAAAGTATAAAAGTCAATCTTTTTCTTTGTTTTACTCTCCACAGCAAAAAGAGGGAACTATCTTTTTCTCCACCTGGAAAATGCTTCATTGTTGTGTGTTAGCCAGTTTCCCTGTCAACTATTTAATGTTTAATATGATTTAATCTGTTTTTGCTGCCTGCCGTCTCTAATAAATTTCTAGCTTAAAAAACTTTTAAACTTTTCTTAAGAACTTTTATTGTGTGTGCTTTGCCTCAGTGGCGTCAACTTGAAAGTCTCCATTCGAGCTTCAGGACCTGCAGGTGTCACCATTTTTCCAAGAATGAAAGGTAAAGCCAGATGTTAACACCTATATTAAATAAACATTTGTAGAACATTTAATAGTTTATGGATTTTGAATTAACTACTAACAGTGTAACTTTTCCTCTGTATGGATAGTTCATAACATGTGGATGAAATGAACTTCAACAGTTCTTATTCCCAGAATAAAGAGGTTTATTATAAGAATGTGAGGTATGATCAGAAAGTTCTGGGAACTGACCTCAACTGATTTATATTAGGCTGATCCGTCTTCTTGAGTGTTGTCTTTTTGTGCATCTTAAGCCCATTTTCAAAAATGTAATTAGTTATAGATTGCTCCCTGGATGTCCCATTCTGTTCCCTTGCACTTATTTTGGGTCAGATATGTCTGTGTAGTTAAAAAATAGTAACAGTGACAGTTATATAGTAACTGTTAAGTCTAATATACCCTAGTAAGCTGTACTACTTTTTCCTTTGGGAAGATACCATCTGTGCAGTGTGCAATTCTGTTGAAGAAAGATGTTGAATCTATTTAATTATTCTTGAAAAATAATTTATTTCTCTGCATTTTCCCCCCTGCATCAAATTAAATTTGATTATATCGATTAAGCATCATGAGGTGGAGGGTGGCTCCCTATTTTGTTTTTGCTGGGAGTTTGCAACCCTATTAGTTAGGTTGCTTAATATTTCTGCTAAGTACTCTTTAAAATACCAGAATAGGGAGGATGGAGCAGGTTTAAGTTTATTAGATTGATTGGTTTTGCTGAACTATGAAATATTTTGGGCGCAGTGTATTTTTTACATATAGGTATAACAGAATAGCTTTAGTGTTGTTATTTATTTAAACTTGAGTATAAACATATACAAAATGCAGCAAGATATTAAAAAAACGTTTTGTTGATTAAAAAACACTATATCGGATTCATATCGGTATCGGCAGATATCCAAATTTATGATATCGGTATCGGACATAAAAAAGTGGTATCGTGCCATCTCTAATTTTTAGGCAATCCTGATATTAATGAATCTCAGTAGTCCAGTCTAGAATTAATAAATGCATTAACTAATTCTTCCATATCAGTCTGAGACAGGATTTCTCATTTTTGAGATACTGCACTAATGCAAGAAAACAGTCATACATATTTGTTTAATATGTGCATTGAGGGACATGACTCCAAGTTTCCTTACAGTGTCACTGGAGGTCAAAATAAAGCCATCCAGAATGGTTTGATGCCACGTTTCTAAGATTGCACATGAAAGGGATGGGACTTCCAGGAAGTGATCTAATAACAGCAGCAGTAGTCATAGTGGTGCATAAATGCATGATAAGATGATCTTCAACAGTGGATGGTAAACATTTAAATTAGGTAATCACCAGTGTACTGCACTTATATTTTTTGGGACTAAAAAAGTCATAAACAAACTAACTGTACTTCAACTTGAGTGAGGTTAGAAAACTACAGCAAACTAGCTGTCTTATAAAATTAAAATTATAAGTAATATTAGATTTCATTCACTCATACAGGTAAAGGAAAGATTTTGTTTGGGTCTTTTCTTGTTTATAACTCAAAAATAGTCATATAGCGTGTCTGTTGACTTGTTCTCAGGACAGTCAGAGGAGAAGAGCAGTGAGGAGTCTGGACCCTCGGGCTATTACTACCAAGATGTTTGGCGAGGACTAGGTGGCACAAAAATTCGTCAGTTCAACACTTCCTCGGCCATCACTCAGTGCCTGAAAGGCAAGGTGATTCATATGTATGGAGACTCCACCATTAGGCAGTGGTTTGAACACCTTACAGCAACACTACCAGGTAACTGCCCCACAACCCTTTCAGGCACCCCTCTGATTTTCTTTAGACACCTTATCACACGCATTATTTCCTCTGTAATACTTTCAGATCTCAAGGAGTTTGACCTGAATAGTGAGAAACAAGCTGGACCTTTCATGGCCCTGAACTTTACACACAACATCATGGTGAAGTACCGCTGCCATGGTCCTCCTCTCCGGAGCACTACTGTCCCAGCCATTGAGATGCATTATATTGCCAACGAGTTAGACAACATGGTTGGAGGCAGCAAAACCGTTGTAGTACTTGGAATCTGGGCACACTTTGCCACTTTTCCCTTGGAGTTCTACATCCGGCGGATGTTGTCCATCCGCAGGGCAGTGGTGCGGCTGCTGTCCAGGGCTCCAGACACACTGGTGGTTATTCGGACCGGAAACCCCAAATCTTTAACATGTTTCCTTCACTCATCTACTAACAGTGACTGGTACACGCTGCAGCAACTCAAAGTGCTCAAGGCCATATTCAAAGGACTGAATGTCCATCTGGTGAATGCCTGGGAGATGGTCATTGCCCACCACCTGCCCCAAGAACTCCACCCACAACCTCCCATTATTAAGAACATGATTAATGTTCTCCTGTCATACATATGCCCTGAAAAGGATG